TCAAGGCTAGCGCTCTACCACTTGAGCCACAGCGCCACTTCCAGCTTTTTTTTTTTTTTTTTTGCTTATGTGGTGCTGAGGAATCGAACCCAGGGCCTCATACATGCAAGGCAAGCGCTCTGCCACTGAGCCACCTTCCCAGCCCCATGAGGTGCACTTTCAACCCACTTTTAACCCTGAAAATGGAAGCTGCTTAATGGGACCAAAAGGCCTATGGAAACTAGAATCTCCCTGTCATGTGGAAGGACAAAGATGTAAAGATGAAAGGCAGATATGACAGTGAACAAGAAATACAGACAGAAATAGGAAAAGCAAAATTGAAATTCAGTTGAAACGCCACTGAACAGAATCACAGACTCATGCAAACACAATTCAACTTTATTTATGTGGAAGGAGAGGTAAATCCATCCCTGGCAACTGTAGCAGCCTCAGGATGTGTTTTCTCTTTAGAACTCTTTAGGGCTGTGTTTGGCAGGGGCTGTGGTGGTTTGGAATCTGGGTAGAAGAACAGAATCAGAGCAGAATTAATTGTCTAAGATTGTGGCACCTTTTATACCAACAAGACCCAGCTGTCCATCTACATCTCCATGCCTCCCCTGGGTTATCAATATTTTTCCTACCATGGCTCACCTGTCTGGTTCCCTAGCTGGGCCTCAGGCCGGTCTCCCCAAAGCAGATGATTGGGGTCATTGAGGAAGCGCTGGCTGCGCCAGCAAGTTAGGCAAGTCTGCACTGTCCAACGCTGTCCCCTGCGGCCTGGGGTAAAGGTGGGAGAAAGGAAGAGTGTCTAGGCCGCTGAGGAGAAAAGGTCTGCACCAGTTTTGCCTCCCCTGTTTTTTAGTAGGAATCTCACCCCTACCTTTCTTTTGTAACTCAATCAATCTTTTGTAACTCTTTTACGATGCATTTTAAATTCCTTAATTGGACTCAAGATCTGCTGTAGCCCTCTTTAACATCACCTCTTTCTTGCCCCTGCTTACCTCAAATTCCCACCTCTGGAACCCTCATTTTTTTTTTTTTTTTGGACAGTACTGGGGCTTGAACTCCGTGCTTAGGCTTCTTTTGCTCAAGGCTAGCACTCTACCACTTGAGCCACAGTGCCACTTCATGGTTTTTCTTTTTTTTTGGGTCCGGTCGTGGGGCCTGAACTCTGGGCCTGGGCGCTGTCCCTCAGCTCTTCAGCTCAAGGCTAGCACTCTACCACTTGAGCCACAGTGCCACTTCCGGCTTTTTTCTTTTTTCTTATGTGGTGTTGAGGAATCGAACCCAGGGCCTCATGCATGCAAGGCAAGCGCTCTACCACTGAGCCACCTTCCCAGCCCCACTTCTGGGTTTTTCTGTTTATGTGGTACTGAGAAATGGAACCCAGGGCATCATGCAGGCTAGGCAAGCACTCTACTACAAAGCCATCTTCCCATTTCTTGAGGGCAAGCAATCCTCAACCATGCCTAGAATTCCTGTTTTTGACGAACCTCACCAATATTGGTATGAAAACAAAACAATCTACTTTCTCAATGAAAGCCCGCCCCCTTTTCTTCTACACTATTTAAATTGTTCTTGGTCCAGGCACTAGTGGCTCACACCTATAATAATAATAACTACTCAGGAGGCAGAGGTCTAAGGATCATGGTTCATTGCCAGATCTCGCAGGAAATTCAGTGAGACTTTTTTTTGGGGGGGGGAGGGGGGGTCCGGTCGTGGGGCCTGAACTCTGGGCCTGGGCCCTGTCCCTCTCCCTCAGCTCTACAGCTCAAGGCTAGCACTCTACCACTTGAGCCACAGCGCCACTTCCGGATTTTTTTTTCCTGCTTATGTGGTGCTGAGGAATCGAACCCAGGGCCTCATGCATGCAAGGCAAGCGCTCTACCATTGAGCCACTTTCCCAGCCCCATCGGTGAGACTCTTATCTCCAATTAACCACCAAAAACCAGAAGTGGAGCTGTGGCTCACATTAGTGGAGTCCTAGCTTTGAGCAGAAAAAGCCCAAGGACAGCACCTGGCCCTGAGTTCAAACATGATCGGCAAAATTAAAAAACAGAAAGTAAATTGTTCTTAATCTATAATTTGAATAACAATGAGGAACCTAGCATTTGAGAAATCTTAGAAACTTGACACGTTTTATTTTTCTGTGAGTCCTAGGGCTTGAACTCAGGATCTGGGCACTGTCTCTGAGCTTCTTTTGCTCAAAGGTAGCTGTCTATCAATTGAGCCACAGCACCACTTCCGACTTTTTCTGCTCATGTGGTACTGAGGAAATGAACCCAGGGCTTCTACCACTAAGCCACATTCCCAGACCAACTTGACACTTCTTGACGAATGGTTACTGCGCGTATGAGGCTCCTCTTAGGGCACGATCAATTGTCAATGGACCGGGTAGGGGAACAAAAAGCCAAGTCCTGACGTTAGTTTCAGTGGAGCTGGAAAAGCCTGACTCCAGCAACTCCAAACCTCCCCCCCGCCCCCCCCCCCCCCCCCCCCGTCTAAGGGGAGGGAGGAACGGTTTGGTCGCCCGCCTTGCCCTCCCCAGGGCTCCTTAATCGCTCCGAGGCTGCGGCAGGACTTACGTCTCTGGCGCTGAGTACAGGTGAGGCCGGGGATGAGGAGGGAGGAGCAGCCGCGACACACAGTCCTCTTCACCGAGGGGTCCCTGGGGGCGGAAGCAAAGGCGATCGGACCCCCCCCCCCCCCCCGCTGCGTCACCCCTCCGGGCCGGCCCCCGCCCGCTCCCGCCCATCGCCGGCCCGCGCGCCTCTCACCGCCGCAGGACGAGCCTCTTGGCGATGGTCTTCTCCGTGTAGCAGTAAAACCTCGCTAGAGCCTGGTTCTCGGGGTCCTGCGCTAGGACACAGTGCGCGGCCTGGGGACGCCAAGCGATCACTATGGGGCCGACGGCACCGGGCCCCGTTCCCCACGCTATCCTCGCGGACTCACCTGGTACAAGAAGCTGAGCCTCTGGAAGGCCTCACGATCCTTCACCTGCCCCGCCATAGCTCAGAGGGAAGACGTACGCGCAGGCCCCGCCCCGGAGCCCCGCCCCCTGAGCTCGCGCGGCGCCTCCTGGGAAACGTAGTACCTTGGCCCGAAGGCCCACAGGGGCACTTTTGTCAACACATCCCCCCAGGGGTTCCAGGGCTCCTTTATTGGATTTCTTCCAGACTTCCTCAAAACTATAATCATGTATTAAGTAGAGACTAGAGAGGCTAGCATAGTAGGAGAGGATCTTAGGAGTTGGACATTTCCAGGACAGAAATCTAGTTTCTTCATGGAGCTAAATTGGGAGAGTTTTTTTTCTTTTTCCATTTTTTTTTTTGGGGGGGGGGTCCGGTCGTGGGCCTGAACTCTGGGCCTGGGCACTGTCCCTCAGGTAGCGCTTGAGCCATAGCACCACTTCTGGCTTTTTTCCTTTTTGCTTATGTGGTGCTGGGGAATCAAACCCAAGGCCTCATGCATGCAAGGCAAGCGCTCTACCACTGAGCCACCTTCCCAGCCCCTAAATTGGGAGAGTTTATCTCCCATCTCTTTCTCCTGAAGCCAAAGGTAGGTGCCTGGAAGATCTACAGACCGAAGAAACAGAGGTTTAATCTTTTAACTATTGGTTTCCCTGTAAATCCTAGCTAATTAGGATGCTGAGATCTGAGGATGGCAGTTTGAAGCCAGTGAGGGCAGTAAAGTATGTAAGACTCTTACCTACAATAAACTAATTTTTTTAAAAAGCCAGACGTGCCAGGAGCCTGTGGCTCAGGCCTGTAATCCTAGCTACTCAGGAGGCTGAGATCTGAGGATCACAGTTTAAAGCCAGCCTGGGCAAGAAAGACTATGAAACTTTTTGGGGTCCGGTTGTGGGGCCTGAACTCTGGGTCTGGGCGCTTGTCCCTCAGATCTTCAGCTCAAGGCTAGCACTCTACCACTTGAGCCACAGCGCCACTTTCGGCTTTTTTTCTTTTTGCTTATGTGGTGCTGAGGAATTGAACCCAGGGCCTCATGCATGCAAGGCAAGTGCTCTACCACTGAGCCACCTTCCCAGCCCCAAGCCATGAAACTCTTATCTCCAATAAACCACCAGAAAACTGGAAGTGGTGCTGTGGCTCAAGCAGTCGAGTGCTAGCCTTGAGCTGAAGAGCTGAGGGACAGTGCTCAGGCCCAAAGTTCAAGCTCCATGACTGACAACAACAACAACAAAAAACAGAAGTGGAGCAGTGGCTCAAGTGGCAGTGCACTAGTCTTGAGCAAAAGCAGCTCAGGGACAGCACCCTGAGTTCAAGCAGACATGTACACACAAAGCACTGGTGCTTGTGGGGGTGAAAGTGGAAAGGATCAACATGGAAATACTATGGAACGTGGAACAAGGATGGAGGGGAGTGGCCTAGGCCCTCAGAAAACACAAGCTTACTTCCATTTTTGTATTTAACAATGAAATACATTTGGTATTACACGGCCTGGCCACAAAACAGGTGATCTTCACAGCATAAAAACCTGTTAAACTTGTCAACAGTATCTTCTACCAGTCCTTCCCCACCAATACAGCCCAACCCAAGCCAGACAGACAACACTCCTTCCTCTGATGGCTTGATGTCTCCCATTTGTTCTGACATCCTTTGTTTTCCTCTGACTCAGTTAATGACTACTAGTGCCTGAGGTCAGAAGCTGAGGGATGCAAACTGGGGAATGGAAGGGTTGGGGTTGAAAGAAGTATATTGATTTCTAAGAAGTGCAGTGTGAGTCAGAAGAAGGTAAGACTCCTCCCCCCCACCCCCACCCCCCTTTCCATTGCAGACCTCTGCCAGGCTGGATAGAGAACCAGCCTCTAGCCCACAGGATGGAAATTAGCTAAGGCTTCCTCAGTGTAGTGTTTCACATCAAGCGTGTGGTTAAAATTTAGATTCCCAGGCCCATCCAGACCTCAGTCAAGCACTTAAGGCCCATTAATACGTGTTTTTCACACTCAGGGATTCTTACACATCAAGGTAAGACCATTATCAAATTATCACACAACACAGAGCTCACTTCAGTGGATCCTTTGTTCATATTGTTTAACAACCGAAGTATCTTGCCACAAAGAACCACAGTCAAGGCACAAAGGTAAGAGGAGGAGAGTAGACAAAGTCCTGTTGAGGTGGTAGGAGGAACTCAATGCCCTCAATAAACTGCAGTTTCTTGTCTCAGTCTTCAGAGCAGCAGATAATCCCAGTTGTTTTAGTTTGGTTTGACATGCATCACTTTACCTTTTTTGACAGTGTATGTACCCTACAGGTTGTTTATTTTGGCCTAAGATAAAAAATGATATACATTCTCTGTAAAGGGGAATGGCGAAAGGTGAAGGATGCCAACAAACACGCACAAGGCTGTTGTTAACCCTCAGTTCTGGGTCAGATGCTCACAGGAAAAAGGAAGTTGCCTATCTGGTCCTTCCTTATATATACCAACTTCTACCCTGTCATTAGGGTGAGAAAGACTGCTTCAGACTCTATCACCCTTCCTTCTTTCCTTTCTTCCTTCTTAAGACACCTGAACCAGGTAACAGGGCTGACTACTTGGGAGTAGTTACTTAGTGACATTCTTTAGGGGCTTTAAGTAGACATACCTCTTTCTTCTAATACCTGACTCTACCAATTTCTCTTGGGAAAACTGTGGAAGAGTAGATGTGTCTAGCATGATCTCTTCTACCTCACCACTGGAGAGGAGCCACGTAAGCAACTTCTTGGAGACAACCAACTGTAAGGAAGCAGGTAAGAAGCAAGCTCTACAGGGACTTGAGTTCTTCCCACTCTTTCCTTCTCCCTATGTTCCTTGTTCACTACTTCTGGCCAGTCCTACTCATAGTGGCAACCTTACCCTGGGAATAAGATCAAAGACATCTCCATCTTCTTTATTAGTTTCTAGGGTTATGTTCCTTTAGCCCTCTTCCCTGATCGTCCTTCTAACATTCTTGGTGCTCAGTCTCTGTCCTCAGGCAAAATTGCATAACTCCTGGACCTGTGACAGCAACTATCCTTCATGTTTTTTCAATGTTCCTTAAGGAACAAAATGGAATCGTTTTTTGGGTCAAAAAACAAACAAACAAAAAACAACCAAAACCAAACAAACCACCAAAGGTTTCAGTTTCATTTTGTTTGGGCAAGTTGGACCCTCTCCTAGACTTCTTTGTTTCTGCAAAAGCCTCTCCATCCTTCCTGACCTGTCCTTGTGCAATAGAAAACCTGATGGATGACAGGGCTACAGTTCCCTGGCAACCAGCCCCCCTTCCTACAGTGAGGAGGAGACGCAGCTGTGTTGTCATGCAGCCCAGGCCTACTTATTCCTCTGCACAAAACATAGTGACCGCCAGGGTGTTTTTCCAAGATGACTCAGACCTGGAACTCGGCAAACACCAAGACATTCCAGCGGAACACAGGAATAAAGGCCCATAGCTCTTGACCCTGCCTCATCCCAATAAAACCTATTTGCCAACCTGTCACTCCCAATCTGTTGGTGGCCGGATGGTAAGTGGTGCAGCATTCTTCCGACCAGCCCGGATGCCTGGATAGAAGAGGGGCCAAAGTTTCTCTGTAAAAGTATCAGTGAAGGTGTAGATATGAGAGCGGTCTGTGACGTTGTAAAAAGACAGCGTGCCAGCCTCATAGTCTAGGAATATGCCCACTCGCTTGGGCTTCACTTTGATGTGCAAAGGGGTAAAAGGTGTGGTGGTGGCTGCGTATTTGTCCCCATTCCACAGGCGCACCCGCCAGTAGCCAGTCTCAGGGAGTGGAGTCAGTTCGCCCTTTCGACTCACGGAGTCCCTGCACACACCCACTGCCCAGTGGGTCTTGTCGCCTACTTCCACCTCCCAGTAATGTCGACCTGAGGTGAAACCTTCAGTAGCTAAGACGCAAGGGTAGTAGGTGAAACGCTGGGGTGTGTCAGGGAGATCTCGGAGTCTTGTCTCTACAAACTTGACACTCTTACGATCTTCTGACAGTACGAGGTTAGGATGAGCTGTCTCAGGGTCCAAGGTCACATCCGCTGAGAAGAAGCCAGAGAAGGGAGGTAAATGAGGACACTTTTTCACTTTTCCAGCCTGCAAGTACATAGTTTGGATCCTTAAAAACACCAGATGAAGCTGGGCACTGGTGGCTCACGCCTGTAATCCTAGCTACTCAGGAGGCTGAGATCTGAGGATCACAGTTTAAAGCCAGCCCAGGCAGGAAAGTCCATGAGACTATCTCCAATAAACCACCAGAAAACTGGAAGTGCTGCTGAGACTCAAGTGGTAGAGCCCTAGCCTTGAACTGAAGAGCTGAGGGACAGTGCCCAGGCCCAGAGTTCAAGCCCGACGAATGACAAAACAAAACAAAACAAAACAAAAACACTAGATGGTGGGCTGGGAAGGTGGCTCAGTGGTAGAGTGCTTGCCTTGCATGCATGAGACCCTGGGTTTGATTCCTCAGCACCACATAAGCAGAAAAAGCTAGAAGTGGTGCTATAGCTCAAGTAGTTGAGCGCTAGCTAGCCTTGAGCTGAAGAGCTCAGGGACAGCCCTCAGGCCCAAAGTTCAGGCCCCATAATAAAAACAGAAAAACATGGCCAACTTTCTCAATCCCTGGTCCTGCCTAAGGGAAGGGAAAAACAATGGATTCACTAACTCAGACCCTAAAATAGGTAAGGGCTCCCTTAACTCTGCAGGGCTCTAAGTTAATGGTCTATCTTCTTCCTTTCCCACAGCAGCATTTATCTCTGTGTGGAGAAGTACAAAAGAGGAGGTCTGCAGGCCAGAAAGAAAGGGAAGACACTTATCTCCAATTAACCACCAAAAACTGGAAGTGGCACTGTGGCTCAAAACCTAGAGCAAAAAGAGCTCAGGCCCTGAGTTCAGCCCCATGACTGACCAAAAAATATGAGGGCTGAGGCTCAAGTGGTAGAGTACTGGCCTAGTAAGCAAAAAGCCCTGAGCTCAAATCTCATTATGACACCAAAACATAAACAAACAAATAAATAGAAAAAGAAGCATGTGTGTGTGTGGGGGGGGGGGGGGAAGAATATGCTTTCCCTGCATATGTATTAATAATAATAATGACATTCTTTTTCATTCTCAAGATTTGTCCCAGCTAAGGTAATAAATTATATGGTCACTCTATCTTATGACTTAGGTAAATTCTAACCTAAGCCACAAAGGTTCTACCTTTCTGGGTCCCTATTTATTTATTTATTTATTTTGGGTCCGGTTGTGGGCCTTGAACTCTGGGCCTGGGCACTGTCCCTCAGCTCTTCAACTCAAGGCTAGCGCTCTACCACTTGAGCCACAGCACCACTTCCGGCATTTTCCTTTTTGCTTATGTGGTGCTGAGGAATCGAACCCAGGGCCTCATGCATGCAAGGCAAGCACTCTACCACTGAGCCACCTTCCCAGCCCCTGGGTCCCTATTTAAAAGGTGTGGATGTTAAGTTAAAATAGATGACATCTAAGGTTTCTCACTGTGAGACTCAGGGTGAGACTGAAAGCTAGGTAACTAGTGTGGGAGAAGGAAGAAATTAAGAGCCCATAGGTAGGACCTAAAAACTTCCTTTTCTCTGCTAGTTTCTTTTTGGGAACAACTTACCAATTAGCTGTTTAAGGATTTTCCTTAGGGCAAAGTACTGTCGGGGAAAATGGCTGAAGTTCTTTTTCAGCTCTATGGATACTGAAGTCACCGCCATGGTCTTTACCTTCTCACATCTAGGAGAGACACGGAGGTAGGAGAAAAGACAGGATCAGAGGAAGCTTAAGTCAAGTAAATATGTTGTCATATTTAGGGAAAAACTGAAATTTTCTATCTTCCCACTTTCTCCCTCCTCCTTGATGTCAATTGCTTTCTTTTGTTATCTGTAGAGAGCTATATGGTAACCTAGACAGTTCCTTATGTTGAGAATGAGCCTCAGAACTTCTTAGGGGCATTCTTGTATTTCATGAAAATTAATAATCATCTTTCTGGTTCTCTCAGCCCTTTCCTCCTGACATCTTGTTTGGAAAGAATCCAACCAGAGCACAAATAGAATCTGGTTCTACATTATCATTTCCTATACCTGTAAGGTCAGCCCTGGGAAGGGGAAGCAGACTCCTCCCTCTTGGCTAAGTCTCTGCCCAGTACCTCTGTCACCTAAGTAACTGGCACACCAGGAGACAATCCCCTCCTCCTCCCTGCTACTCCTCCGAGGTCATGTCCTAGGCAGCTTCATCATCGGTCAGCCTCCCATCAGACTGTGGGAGGGTCCCAGGCCCTGAGGTACCTGTATCTGGTGCACACACCTTCTCCTCAACCCCCTTCCCTATTTAAACCCAGGCCAGAACTCAGCACCCCCCTTCTGACCATGCCTCTCCACCATGTGTGGTGGGGCAGTAGTTTGGTAAAAAACAAACTAATCTTCCTGCCTGAATACTACGTGGAGTTCTCTTAATTGGCTACTAATTAAACCTACCTATTTGATTTACCTTACATTACCAACCATGTCCTCATGCTCCAAGGGGAAAAGGCCAGTGGTTGTTACTCCTAGGGAATTGTGCTTCCTGCATGCAATGACTCTTTCCTCACATTCTTCCCAGATCTTGCATGACCATCTCATTCTTTCTCCTCCCAACTCATTTCTTGATCCCTTAACCCAAAACTTAAACTCACTCAAAGTGACATACAAATCACTTACTTTTCCAGGGTACTTTTGACATCCTAGAGGGAAAGAGAAATAAAGAGAGAAATATTTGTCTTGATATTCAAGGATCATGAGGACAAAAGGTTATACTTCTATCCAAAGTTCTAGATCAGTAAAACAGTCCCTGGGCAAGCCCTGCACCAGTGGCTCATGCCTGTAATCCTTGCTACTCAGGAGGCTGAGATCTGAGGATCCTGGTTCAAAGCCACCTTTCCCAAATTCACGAGACTCTTAATCTCCAATTAATCACCAAAAAAAAAAGCGGAAAGCTGAGCTGTGGCTCAAGTGGTAACTAAAGCATTAACTTTGAACTAAAAAAGCTCAGGGATAGCGCCCAGGCTCTGAGTTCAAGCCCAGGGGAAAGGAAAAAACCAAAAACAGTCCCTGGGCAAACTGTGGGTCACAACTCAAGGGGAAGAGCTTCAGCGGGAAATGAGCATCTCTGCCAGCCTAAACCTACTTTTAACTGTTGGTTATCATGAAGCATGGTAGTTTGTATCATTCCCAAATGATTTCTCATATGTTTGTCTTTGCTCCTCCAGGACACTGGTAGCTCCCAGCAAGAAACAGGAATTTGGTCAGCTCCTTACTTTGTCCTTCCAGTACTGACTAGTTTCCATGATGATCAGTATAGACAATTCCAGGCTGGTGGCATAGGAAAATAATCATGCTTTCCCATTGCAGTTTGGTAGCCCCTATCTGTTACTGCCCAGTACATTAGTAAATGTGTGCTAGCCCTGATTTGGGGTAAAGAAGAGAAAGACAAAGCTGGGCACCAGTGACTCATGCCTGTAATCCTAGCTATTTAGGAGGGTGAGATCTGAGGATTGCAGTTCAAAACTTTCCTGGGGCAGGAAAGTCCGTGAGACTCTTCTCTCCAATTAATCACCAGAAAACCGGAAGTGGCACTGTGGCTCAAGTGGTACAGTGCTCCCCTTGAGCCTGAAGAGCTCAGGAACAGCACCAAAGCCCAGAGTTCAAGCCCCATGACCGACAAAAAAAAAAAAAGACAAAGACAATAAACCTCTGCTTCACAAGGATTTTCAGTTTAATGTGGAAAGCAGATGCACCTACTTCAAAGGACACAGGAAATAATATATTAAAAATATAACAATATATAATATGTGAATAAATATACATTGCAGCTTTTCTAATTTAAATAGATTATTTGATATCTAAGATAAAACAATCAAACTTGCCAACATTGTGCATATTTATCTATTTATTTTTTTTCAGTCATAGAGCTTGAACTCAGGGCCTGGGTTCTGTCCCTTAGTTTTTGTGTTCAAAGTTGGCACTCTATTACTTTGGCCACAGCACCACTTCTTGTTTTCTGGTAGTTAACTGGAGTTTCATGGACTTTCCTGGCTGGGCTGGCTTTGAACCATGATCTTCAGATCTCGGCCTCCTGAGTAACTAGGATTACAGGTGTGAACCTCGGTGCCTGGCCAACACTATGCATCTTTATAGAGCAGAACTATTTAAACATTTTAGAGGTCTCATTGACATATCAAAAATAAGATACCATACATACTTTCAAATATCCTTAAGTTATGTTTCTATTCTTTTTAACATGAGGTAAGTCACATTCTAGAACTGGAAAGCAACAGTAATTGCATTTTATAAAACTTTTAAAAGAAATTTCTTTTGTGCTGCTAGTCCTGGGCTTGAACTCAGGGCTTAGGTGCTACCCTTGAGCTTTTTTGCTCAAGGATATGTTCTACTACTTGAGCCACACTCCACCTCCAGCATTTCTTTTTTTTTATTGGGTCCAGTCGTGGGGCCTGAACTCTGGGCCTGGGCACTGTCCCTCAGCTCTTCAGCTCAAGGCTAGTGCTCTACCACTTGAGCCACAGTGCCACTTCCGGCTTTTTTCTTTTTGCTTATGTGGTGCTGAGGAATTGAACCCAGGGCCTCATGCATGCAAGGCAGGCGCTCTACCACTGAGCCACCTTCTCAGCCCCATTTTTTTTTTTTTAACTTTTATTTTTTGGTGATAGACTGGAGATAAAAAGAGTTTCCAGGATGGGGCTGGGAAGGTGGCTTAGTGGTAGAGTGCTTGCCTTGCATGCCTAAGGCCCTGGGTTTGATTCCTCAGCACCACATAAGCAAAAAGAAAAAAGCCGGAAGTGGCGCTGTGGCTCAAGTGGTAGAGCACTAGCCTTGAGCTGAAGAGCTGAGGGACAGTGCCCAGGCCCAGAGTTTAGGCCCCACGACCAGACCTCCCCCCCCCAAAAAAAAAGAGAGAGAGTTTCCAGGAAAGCCAATGTTCATGGCTCTCGCCTATAATGCTAGCTACCCAGGAGGCTGAGATCTGCAGATCACAGTTCAAAGCCACCCCAAGCATAAAGTCCTAGAGATAGAGACTCTTATCTCCAATTAACCACCAGAAAACCAGAAGTGGTGCTGTGACTCAAAGTGGTAGAGTGCTAACCTTGAGCACAAAAACTCAGAGACAATGCCCAGACCCTGAGTTCAAACCCTATGACTTAAAAAAAAGTCTCATAGACGTTCCCACCTGGGCTGCCTTGGAACTTCTATTCTTAGAGCTCAGCCTCTGGAGTAGATAGGATTATAGACATGTGCTGCAGGCCCTGGCTTTATAAGACCTTTAAGGTATAGGTTTTCACTAAGTAGTTCAGACTTTCCTTCTCTAAAGGAGTTTTTTGTTTTGTGTGTGACTTTTTTTTTTTGTACAAATGAAGCATATGATTGTTGACAAGATATAAATAGCACAAAAATGATACAAGTACATGGAGAAGTCAGAAAAGCCTTCCTATAGAAAAAGGAACTTTAGAATATGTCTAGAAGAGAGAGCTGGGCTTAGGGAAGCTGAGCAGGGGAAGAGACCACCCCAGACTGACAGAATAGACTACAAAGCTATACTGTGCTTGGCCTGAGGAGCTATGCAAGGGCAAAGGTCAAACCTTCAGCATCTCGAAGCCAGACTGGAAGCACTTGTCCTCCACCTCAGCAGCCAGGTGGGCTAGGTCCCGGCGCTTGTCCCCCAGATGGGCAGCATTTTCACGCAGTTGCTGTAGAATGTCCTGTTCTTCCTCCTCCAGTCGTGAAAGCAGAATCTGCTGCTCTTCATCCAGCCGCCTATGAAGCTCTTCAAACTCCTTTAAGATCTGCTGTCGGCGATTCTCCACTAGTCTCTGAGAGAAAAGAGGGAGAACTGTGTCAGCAGGGTATGGGGCCGGAAGTAGCCGCTCCCCAACCCATCATGTGCATGAAATAACACAGGCTTCCAGTCTTACTGGAGATGGTTTAACAGGACACACATTTTTCTTTTCCTTTTTCTTTTTTTTGGGTCCGGTTGTAGGGCCTGAACTCTGGGCCTGGGTGCTGTCCCTCAGCTCTTCAGTTCAAGGCTAGCACTCTACCACTTGAGCCACAGCGCCACTTCCGGCTTTTTTCTTTTTGCTTATGTGGTGCTGAGGAATTGAACCCAGGGCCTCATGCATGCAAGGCAAGTGCTCTACCACTGAGCCACCTTCCCAGCCCCAGGACACACATTTTTGTCCTTACTGGAATCTTCTGTAAATATCTCCCCTGGTACCAATCTTATTGTCCCCACTGAGGATTGGTAGTGAGGGCCATTGGGGAGAGTAAAACAAAAGTCAATGTTTAAAAAATTAATTTTGCTGGATGTCCTGCCCCATGCCTATAATCGTAGCTACTCAGGAGGCTGAGATTTGAGGATCACAGTTCAAAGCCAGACTGGGAAGTAAAGTCCATGAGACTTTAACCAATTAATCACCAGAAAACCGGAAGTGGCAATGTGGCTCAAACTGGTAGAGCGCTAGCTTTGAGCAAAAAAGTACAGGGACAGGGTTTATGCTCTGAGTTCAAGCCCCAGGACCCACACAAAACAAAACATAAAAGCTCAGGGTCAGCACTCAGGTCTTGAGTTCAAGCCCTAGTACTAGTATGTATACACACAATCCTAGCTTTCTGCTTGTTATGCAATATTAGAAAAATATATTTTAAATAAAAACAAATTTAATATAATTTAAAAATCTCTGAATCTTAACTAATTACTTGCAAAAGCCTTTAACAAGGTTAAAGTTCTAGTTCATCTTCTCTTTTTTTTTGGTTCCGGTCATGGGGTCTGAACTCTGGGCCTGGGCACTGTCCCTCAGCTCTTCAGCTCAAGGCTAGTTCTCTACCACTTGAGCCACAGCGCCATTTCCTGCTTTTCTGCTTATGTGGTGCTAAGGAATCGAACCCAGGGCCTCATGCATGCGAGGTAAGTGCTCTACCACTAAGCCAACTTCCCAGCCCCTAGTTTATCTTCTTATGAACTTGCAGCTGTCTTTTTGGTGTTATGGCATTATCTATTCTCTTCACCAGTCTTTAAGTACAAGGAGGGCGTGGATTGTGTTTTTGTTCATCATTGATATCTATGGTCAAAAACAGGGTTTGGCCTATGTCAAGAGCTAAATAAATTTATTTTTTTCTAGCTGGGTGTGGTGGCTCACACCTGTAATCCTAGCTACTCAGGAAGTTGAGATCTGAGGATTGTGGTTTAAAGCCAGCTCCAGCAGGAAAGGCTGTGAGACTCTCATCTCTATTAAACCACTCAGAAAACTGGAAGTGCACTGTGGCTCAAGTGGTAGAGTGCTTGCCTTGAGCTGAAGAGCTCAGGGACAGTTCCTAGGGCCAGAGTTCAAGCCCCACTACTGACTCCCCCACCCCCGTCCCCTGCCCCCCCAAAAAAAACAAAAATGATTTTTTCTTTTTTGTCTAAGACTGGGACTCAAACTCGGTATCCAACATTTTCATTCCCTGGCTGGTGCTCTACCACTTAAGCTATAACTCTAACCCCAAGAGCTAAATAAATTAATAGATTCAAAAATTGTTACTATCCCTGATTTTGTCACTTATTGGCCTTATGATTTTGGACTAGATACTTAAATCAGTTCTGTTTGCTCCTATACAAACATGGGATGATAATACCGACCTTATAGTGTATCTAAGTTTACCCCTGTAAAAGATGGTCTCAGAATCTTTCCTTTGTCTTTGTAGCCTTTTTATATCTTACCTGTCCCACGTCTAGCCTAAACTCTTAGACCTCCAACATGGGCAGAACTGCAAGACTTAGTATAACCATATAAATTTGGAAGGTCACAGACACCCAGTGTATTAATGCATAGGATTCAGTATTAATTACTGTTTTTGCTGCTACTGATGGGGGTTGAGTCCAACAGAAGAAATAATTCAGATACCAAGATACCATACTGCAAATAAGAAACTACTACGGAAAAGATACAAAAGAATATGAATTCTGATGGGCGCCGGTGGCTCACGCCTGTAATCCTAGCTACTCAGGAGGCTGAGATCTGAGGATCGCGGTTCAAAGCCAGCCCAGGAAGGAAAGTCTGTGAAACTCTTATCTCCAATAAAACCACAGAAAACTAGAAGTGGTGCTGTAACTCAAGTGGTAGAGCGCTCGCCTTGAGCTGAAGAGCTGAGGGACAGCGCCCAGGCCCAGAGTTCAAGCCCCATGACCGACAAAAAAAAAAAAAGAATATGAATTCTTTGTATGTGTGTGCCAGTCCTGGGGCTTGAATGCAGGGCTTGGGCACTGTCCCTGAGCTCTTGTAATCAAGGCTAGTGCTCTAACACTTGAGCCATAGTTCCACTTCCAGCTTTTTGGTGGATAATTCGAAATAAGAATCTCATAGAATTTCCTGCCCATGCTAGCTGTGAATCTTGATCCTTAGATCTCAACCTCCTGGGTAGCTAGGATGCAAGTATAAGTATGAACACCTGGCAAAAATATATGAACTTAAAAGCAAGTTAATTTCTGAAGGGCCAGAATACTGAAGAGGAAGTAGCTTTTGTCCAAGTTGGCAGATGGACAGAATCCTACAGATGAAGATAGAAAGGGGAAGGAATGAAGCAACGTGATTTAGCCCAACTTATCCTTACTTGAGTTATGAGAATGTTGTTGGTCCTAATGTCACTGGGAAGCTCTGGGAGTTTTCCCTTCTTCCCCAGGGAACCTTCCAGATCCTTCTTTCCTCAATTCCTCTAACAAGCTCCTATTACCAAATAGGAGAGAGTCTCAGGAGAGAGTCTTTTTTTGTTTTATTTTGTTGGCATTGCTGGGGTTTGAATTTAGGGTTTTGTACTTGGTAACATGTGCTCTACCACATCCTTCATCTCTTTCATCCTTCTGCTCAAAAATGAATTCATGACAAGTAAGTTAAGTACAGTGTTGAAGGACAATCACACCTTTTTTGAAAGAACAGTTTTTCTAAGGAATCAGAATGAATGGATTAAATAATGTGGTTAATTCCTTCAGAGGCAAATACCCTAGGGCAGTGTGAATGAGATCTCCAGTCTTTACCTTGAGCTCCCCTGGCTTCTTTTCCTCAGAGGATTTGCAGCGGGTGATTTCCTGCAGCTTGTATTCCAGGGGCTCCAGGCACTTCTGCAGTTTTTCCTGATGAGTTGGAAAGAATAAGAGTGCTAAAATCAGCTGGGATGCACTGGCATATCTATTGCTCAGACATTAATCTATTTGTTTTATTAATCCATTTGTTTATTATTTTATTTGTAAAAACCTGGGGCTACTCAAGCACTCCATCACTGACCTACATTTCCACTTCTTTTTTTTTTTTTTTAGGGGGGGGGTCCGGTCGTGGGGCCTGAACTCTGGGTCTGGGCGCTATCCCTCAGCTCTTCAGCTCAAGGCTAGCGCTCTACCACTTGAGCCACAGCGCCACTTCCGGCTTTTTTCTTTTTGCTTATATGGTGCTGAGGAATCGAACCCAGGGCCTCAGGCATGCAAGGCAACTGCTCTACCACTGAGCCAACTTCCCAGTGACTTCTAAGCCCATTAGTTCCTATCCATCTCACCATTTCTTGATAAAGCTCCTTTCTTTGCCCATAATTTGAGACATTAACTTCCTACAGGCCCATCCCTTGCCACTGGCTTGTCCTCATCAGCTTCTCAGCTCACCCACTTTTCTTCCACAGAATCTAGTTTTCTAGTTCTAATCAACTCTATGTCCTTCCCTGACCCCACCCATTATCTTATGAACAACAGCCTCTTGCTATTAAAGCTACTTTTTTTTTTCTTGGAACTTGAACTCAGGGTCTGGGTGCTGTCCTTGAGCTTTTTTTTTTCTTAAGGCTAGCGCTCTACCACTTGGGCCACAGCTCCACTTCTGACTTTTTTGGTGGGTAATTGGCAATGAGTCTCATGGATGGACATTCCTGGCCAGGCTGGCTTTGAACTGTGATCCTCAGATTTTAGCCCCTGAATAGCTAGGATTACAGGCATGATCTACCAGTTGTTGTTTTTTTTGTCGGTCATGGGGCTTGAACTCTGGGCCTGGGCGCTGTCCCTCAGCTCTTCAGCTCAAGGCGAGCGCTCTACCACTTGAGCTACAGCGCCACTTCCGGTTTTCTAGTGGTTTATTGGAGATAGGAGTCTCACGGTCTTTCTCAGATCTCAGCCTCCTGAGTAGCTAGGATTACAGGCGTGAGCCACCAGAGACCGGCTGATCTACCAGTTTTGGCTAAAGCTCTTGGTGATGATGCTGGGAATAAAGCCTATTGCATATGGTAAGCACACGCCGTGCCACTACACTACATTCACAGTTCAAAGTAACCTTTGCACCTTGTTCTCCCATCCAATTCTAACCACTTAAAAATAGAACAAAAACTTGATTACTTATGCCACTAATCACCTTACTGTTTCAACATCTTGTTATATATAATTAAGATAAAATGCTAAGCCTCTATTACTTAGACATTTACCCTATGGCTCAGCAGTAACTTAAACCCCATGCCATGTTCCCCATTATCTGGTGGATGTCAATCAAATGATGCTACCTATTTCAACCAATAGGAAAACCAGACAGGGAGCAGAATCAAGAAATTGCAATGCCTTTTGAAGTTTGATCCTCTCCATGAAGTTTCACTCACTATTCCAAGACTATATACACCAATACGTACCCATAAGACACAAAGAATGGTGCAAACTTTATAGAAAATCTGGGGACACACTTCTCTACTTCATATTCTAGAGTGTAGTGTAGTTGATTAGATGTACAGTGTATCCATGTATGCAGATCTGAGGAGTGAGGGGACTTAGAGTGAAGATCAGGTACAATCCTGCCTCTGGGGCTTACAACCCTTTACCTAGGGAGTGTATCTTTCACCACACTGGCATCTGTCTATACACACACACACACACACACACACACACACACACACAGACACTGGCATGTGTCTGATTGCTCACCTTGTACTCCTGTGTTGCATCATCCAATGGAACAACGGTGTGGGCCCGGTGGGTGTGGGAAATGGCACATATCAAGCATACAGCTTCCTGGTCTTCATAGCAGAAGAGGCTGAGGGCTTCATGATGCTGGGAGCAGAGTATCTCATCTCGGATCTTCCGTTTAACAGCTTGGAGCTGCTTGGCAATTTCCACCATACTGCCTAGCTGCCGATTAGGCCGAAGACTGCGGTAGCGAGATGTCTTCCGACAGACAGGACAAGGGAAGTCCCTCTCTAGGTCCTCCCACCAGCGGGTAATACAAGCTTTACAGAAGTTATGCCCACACTCGATGATGACAGGCTCCTTCAGATACTCCAGGCACACAGAGCAGCTCGCCTCCACCTGTAGGTTCTCCAGAGCAGCAGCTGTGGAGGCTGCAGAGGCCCCGGCCTCTAACAGACTTGTCTCTGCCATTATTTAACTTCCAAGGAGAAAAGAAACAGAAGGTATAATCCAAAATCTACATATGTGTCCTGGCCCAGGAGATCTTACTTGTAACCTTAGAATCAACAGTTCCAGACCAATGTATCCTACTTTAATAGTTTAAAAAGGAATGTGGGACTTAAGAAGTACCATATAAGCCAAAGGATTAAGACTTCTTAAATTATATATACATATGTATGTATATTTTTTGTTGGTTGTGGGGCCTGAACTCTGGGCCTGGGCACTGTCCTTCAGCTTTTCAGCTCAAGGCTAGTGCTCTACCATTTGAGCCAAAGCATCATTTCTGGCTTTTTCTGCTAATGTGGTGCTGAGGAATGGATCCCAGGGCCACATGCATGCAAAGCAAGCACTCTACCACTGAGCTACCTTCCCAGCCCCAAACTAGCTATATTTTAAAGTCAAATGTTACAGAAGAGTTTTATTCTAATAGTCAATTGGAGCTTAAGCAAGATTTTCTGCCATCCTCTCACTCTTTCAGAGGGTAATGAATTGAATTAGGTAAAGGTAACATTGCTTCTTTTTTGAAAAGAATGAAATTATTCTTCCTTTTATAAGACTAGCCTAGACAAAGTGTACTCTGCTTGGTCTAGAACCTTTCAAGCAACATTCTATTTGTGGGCATTTGAACATTTGGAATGACTAAAAGTTATAAATGCATAGCAACTCTTTCCAAGAGTGTACAGTAACTTCTTGAGAGGAGAGCTGGTAAATCCATTCTAAAAATTAAACAACCACTGAAGTCTTCCAAATAGCCACTTAATTAGGAGTTAAATGAAGAAAAGAGGCAATCAAGTCACCCTCAGGTGAAGCCTGAGTCTCTGACAGTAACTTCTTGAGAGCTGGTAAATCCATTCTAAAGATTCAGCAACCACTTTAGTCTTCCAAATAGCAACTTAATTAGGAATTAAATGAAGAAAAGAGGCAATCAAATTTACCTCAGGTGAAGCATCAGACTTGGAAATATATCTGATAGATTTCTAAAACCGATTGCAGGTCCCCTACTCCAGTCTTAAAACATCAATACTTTTATCCATGATTAAATTGATTTCTCTATTTCCATTTTCTGCCTCTTCTCATAAAGTGACCCAGTCAAAAGAAGGATTTTGGAAGGTCTATGCACTTCACAGAAGTGGCCGTGTGATTAGTTGGGGTAAAAATGCATCAAACAAAATGCATCAAACCCAGGGCCTCGTGCACACCAGGGAAGTGCTCTACCATTGAGCTACATCTCCAGCTTCTGGTAGATGGTTGGCACCCATGAGTGTTTAATTTGGTAACTTATTTAGATCTCAACTTCATCTCTCTATATCAGATAGTTCAGATATTTTTTTTTCCTCTTCTCTACGTATTGGAATCCAACTTGGATTAGGAACCCTGCCTCTTTCCCAGTCTTCTAGCCATGTGGTGGCTTCCTCACCTGGAGGAGTTGAATTGTATGCACATTTGTGGACCACAATGGATCTAGACTGGCAGAGAAGTGGTTTGAGAAAGTAAAGGGGAAAAGGTTAGTGAAAAATGGAGAGGAGCTGGAGCTTGGGGGAAGGAGAGGAGTGGCGAGGCCTGCCAGCCGTGAGGCTTGGGGTGCCTGTGGGTGGGTCCTTCCTCCTCCCTCAGTCCCTCGTGAAGGGTAGACTTCTGGGACGTTCTCATTTTTGTTTCTATCACTGTTCGACTTCTATCTGGCGACCCTCTCTTTTCCCACCCGCATCTCCATCTCCTCCTGCCAAATCTGGCGCAGGGGGACTGGAGAGAAGAGACAGTCGCCGTGGTGGTTGGCGAGAGGGGGAAAGAGAGGGATGCGTGTCCAGGTAAGGAAGAGGCGTGACGTGAAGGTGGGATGCCAGGCGCTCTGACGCAGCCGAGACCCGCGGTGACGGTGTCAGCTTCCCCCGGGGAGCCGAGTGGCTGCGGGACGGGGGATCCGCGGGGTAGCCAAGCAACGCCGGACGCGCTGACGTCGCCGGGGCGGCAAAACGTCCTCCGCCCGGGCCCAAGGCGGGCGGAGGCAGCGGTGGTTACGTGTGGGGGGCCGGTGACGCAGTGGCCGGGCGCAGGGATGCGGCGAGAGGAGCCGGCCAGCGGGGGTGGGCCGTGCGGCCCCGGCGCGGCGGCGGGACAGCACCTACCTTCCCGGCTCCGGGTCCGGGAGTGCGGGGCGCGGAGCCGCCGGGGCGAGCGCTGCCTCCCTCCTTCCTCCTCCCCTCGCCCCCGCCCTGCGGCTGGGCACACAATACTCGCCGGAAGCGGAAGCCGCGCCGAGCCTTCGTGTCAGGGCGAGCCTGAGGCGCCGGTGGGCGGCCGCGGAGCGCCCCGCCGCCGTGCCCCGCCGCGGGAGGAGGATCAGCGCGGCCGCAGGTCAGGGCCAGCCGGAGACCAGGGCGACCCGGAGTGCCGGCGGCTGCGAGGCCGGCGTGTCGGTCACCCGCGGAGTCCTCCCGAGACCGAGGGCCGCGCATGCGCGTGGAGGAGCGCCGAAGCCCATGGCTCGCTGGGCGCCGCCACTCGGGCGCGCAGGCCGACGCGGCTGCACCGTCCAGGTTGCGGGTTCGAGTTCCGGATAGGTGTTGCCGGGTTCCCCGGTGGGGCCTGGGAGTCGCTGGTTGCCGGGTGAGGGTGGATGGTGGATCTTTCGGCCTCACTTCCCCGGTTTTGGGGTCGATCCGGGTGGAGAACGGCGACTTGAGGCGAAGGCCTATTACGTGGCGGCCCCGCGGATCTCCGCGGATACGTCACTTCCGACCGGCTGAGGTCGGGCCTGTGAATGCTCTCGGGACTGGAGGAGTTCTGCCCTGGGTGAGGTTGCCAGGGCTGCCCCTCCGGTCCCCCTGGTCATCCGCCTGGGTCGAAACGATCCCCCTCTGCCGGCGGGAGAGCGAGGCGGTACGGCGCGCGGCTCCGTTGGCCGCACTTGGCTGCAGCGATCGGACGCGGGTTGCAGCCCTGTTCTTCCCACTCGGGTTTGTGCATTGCAGATGATGCTTGTTAGGGGATGGGGGCTATGGCTTACCTACTCCGGCTTCTCGTTGCAGTAGAGCATTGCAGGTGTGATTTTGGAGGATGCAGGCGAGGGAAAGTGCTGGGGCTTGGGAGTTAGCGTTCGGAGGGACGAGACACTGCGCAGGAGCAAAGGTAGCCCTGCCGGGGCCCTGTCACGCCCAGCATTTGTCGCACAGCGTTTGAAGGGAGTAGTCAACTTTATCCTCTTTGGACAGGAAGTGGTTTGACTTGTTCCTTGCGTCAATGTTGTCAGTTCTGTTTACATACTCTATGTAAATCTCTCACCCGGAGAGCCCAAACTATTTTTTTAGAGAAAATGTCGTGGCCAGGGTATAAAGATTTAGGATAACGTATTTCAATTGCTTGTGTTCATTTTTTTATTTCCTTATTCCTTTGCCTTTTGCTTTCCTTACTGTTGCTAACAAGATGAAACGAGAAAAATCCATTAACGTTTTCCTCCTTCTCATTACTATTTGACCTTTAGGGATTTTGTTAATACCATTTGTTATGGTTCAGAAACAGTGTTATAGTTTGAAAGCCACTAACTAGACTGTCAACTTCTAAGCTTGGCTCTCAGAGAGTAATGATGGTTTTGAGTTTTGATTTATTAGTTTGTAGCATAATGTTAGGCACTGTTTTTTTCTTTTTTCCTGGCTTTGTGTCTGTTTTCGTATGTGCTTTAAGGAAATAACTAGCTAGAAGTACATTTCAGAGGGCATATCAAGAATTATCTGGCAGGGCACTGGTGCCTCACGCCTGTAATCCTAGCTACTCAGGAGGCTGAGATCTGAGGATCGTGGTTCAAAGCCAGCCCAGACAGGAAAGTCTGTGAGACTCTTATCTCCAATTAACCATCAGAAAACTGGAAGTGGTGCTATGGCTTAAGTGGTAGAGCTCTAGCTTCGAGCTGAGGTGTAACGCCCAGGCCCAGAGTTCAATCCCTACAACCAAGAAAAAAAAAAAGGCAGCAGCTAAATGTCTGGCTCACTCCTGTAACCCTAGCTACTCAGAAAGCTGTGGTCTGAGTATCTCATAGTTCAAAGCCCACTGGGGCCGGAAAGTTCTTGAGACTTTTTAATCTCCAATTAACTATCAAGCCAGAAGTGTAACTGTGACTTAGTTGGTAAAGTGCTAGCCTTGAGCGGAAAGTTCAGGGACAGCATCCTAGCCCTGAGTTCAAACCTCAGAATTGGCACAAAAGAAAAAAAAACGATATTAATGCTGAGACTTCAATCTCATAAAAATGCTATGTTACATTTACTCCTATTGAATCCTGTTGAATCATTAAATTATGTTCCATAAGCTATTACTAATTAGTATTGGCTTATAAAGTAAACGTCTTGGTTTGTACTTGTGAGAAAAAGAAATAGATTTAAAGGTGGATTTAAGATCCCTCCTTACCACCCTACTGCACCGTTGGTAGAAATGTAAACTAGTACAACCATTCTCAACAGCAGTCTGGAGGTGCCTCAGAAAACTAAATATAGACTCCTGGGCATCTGTCCTGAACATCATGAGCCAGGATATGATAAGATACCTGCATATCCATGTTTATTGTTGCACTAGTCACAGTAGCCAGGATAGGGAAACAGCCCAAATGTCCCACAGCAGATGAGTAGATTTAAAAAATGTGGTACCTATACACAATGAAGTTTTACACAGACATTAGAAAGAATAAAATTATGTCATTTGGAGGGAAATGGATGAAACTCTAACAAACCACGCTAAGTGAGGTAAGCTAAGCTCATAGACACAAATGGCACATGTTCTTGCCAATATGAGGAAATTAGATCTAAAACACACTGGGATATGATAAATTATGCAGGATTCTAGACACTCACACACAGTGAGACCAGAAGAGGACACTCTTAGGAGAGAAACACAAAAACACAATCCCTAAGTGCCTCTTCATATTTACATAAAATATTTATTGAAATGAACTCTGAGATATGGAAATTTTTTTTTAAAAATGTTTATTTTTTGATGATTCTGTCTTTATGGTGTATTGTGTATATATCTTTAGGAGAGTAGGAGAGGGTACATAACTCGAGGGAAAAGGTGAAAAAGTGCAGCAGTGGAGCTCACTGAATACTGATGAAAATGAACTATATAACTCATGGGTGGAGAGAGTGAGGAAATGGAAGATACTGCACAAAAAGAAATGTACTCATTACCTGACTTGTATAATAGTAAGCCCTCTGTATACACCTTTATAATAATAAAATAAATAAAAAAAATTCCTCTTTACCTTCTCTGATCATTGACCTCACTGACCATCTGGCTGACCATCACGATGGCTGGTGGGCTTCTTACAAACACTAAGACCTCCACACAGAGCCTTGTCTCAGTATTAGACACGAATTAAAGAATTTCTTATTAATCCTTAAAGAGGAGACAGTGATGCACAGTCTAGGAAATCTGGTTTATATATTGCTTACTGAAAGTATGATCAGAAGGCCAGCAGCTTCAGCACAATTCTTGCAATTTGGAATCTTGCAATATAGAATCCATGCTCAACTCCAGGTCAGGGGAAAAAAAGCCAACAAATGTGGATGAATTTCCTGGGCTCCCTAGTCCTAATTAACCCATGGATTCCACCCCAAATAGCACCACAAAAAAGTTAATCTCTTGAACTAGAAGGTTTACAAGGGGATCTCCCAAGTAGGGTACAATCAGTGGGGCTTCGTGTACACGCTGGAGGACTCAAGTTTGACCAAGGTATTATGAAAGTGCTTTCACAAATCTTTTTCTGGCTGGGAAGGTGGCTCAGTGGTAGAGTGCATGCCTACCAAGCATGAAGCCCTGGGTTTGATTCCTCAGTCCCACATAAACACAAAACGCTGGAAGTGCTGCTGTGACTCAAGTGGTAGAGTGCTAGCCTTGAGCAAAAGAACCTCAGGGACAGTGTCCAGGTCCTGAGTTCAAGCCCTAGGACTGGCCAAAAATCCTTTTCCCCATTCTCTTTCCATCACAGGAGCTTTGCATCTGTAGTCTGGGGAGAGGTGAAGAAAAGAAAAGTTCCCAGGAGCTTAATCTGGCTCAGGCTGCTACTGCAAATTTGCTTCTTTATTGATTAAGATGCATTGTACTCATAAACTGACATTGAATTGAAACCCATTTGTACAGCTACTTAAAGACAATTTTAAAAGCCAGGTGCTGGTGGCCCATGCCTGTAATCATAGCTAGTCAGGAGGCTGAGATCTGAGGAACAACGGTTCAAAGACAGACTGGGCAGGAAAGTCCATGAGACTTATCTCCAATAAACCACTCAGAAAACTGGAAGTGGTTCAATGGCTCAAGTGGTACAGCCCTAGCCTTGAGCTGAAGAGCTGAGGGACAGCATTCAGGCCCAGAGTTCAAGCCCCATAACCAACAAAGAAAAAAAAAATTTAAAGGAAAATCTCTCCCTCTCCCTCACCTCTCTCTCTCTCTGGCTTTGAACCACTGGCTTTGATCCTCAGATCTCGGTCTTCACTGCCCAGCAAAATTTGTCTTGAGATCAGATTTTCTGGTGATGAGAGGTCTTAGATCTTGTGGGGCAATTCCAGAAAAAGCATCTGCTGTCAGAGATGGGACTCTGGGGAAGACAAGAAATATGTTCTTTTTTGAACTACAGAAACTAAGAAACATTTGGGAGTTGAAAGTTGGCTGACTCAGACACAAGAATCCTTACTCTATGGTCCTAGACCTAGGACAATGCCCAGGCAAATCTGGGTCCCTGTGATTACAAGTCTTGGTCCCACTGAGCAATGACAATAGACGTGAAAATGATCCAGCTAAAAAGTGAGTCCATCAAAACCAACAAGGGACTGAGCACCTACTGAGCACAGTCCGCCCCACACTTGGCCCTCACAGCCTTCTTCCCCCATCTCCCACAAGCTCAGCATAGCAAATGTGAATTCTGGAGGGTTCTGAGGTTTTGTTTCATTTTTGTTGGTCATGGGGCTTGAACTCAGGGCATGAGTTCAGCTCAGCTGTCCCTGAGCTCTTTTGTTCAGAGCTTGCATTCTACCACGTGGAGCCAAAGTGCTAGTTTCAGTTTTCTGGTGGTTAGTTGGAGAGAAGAGTCATGGACTTTCCTGCTTGGGCTAGCTTT